GTTTTCTTTGTGTAGGCATAACTGGCAAATGTGGCAAGAGTGACTGTCCTGTGCCCAATTGTTCTTTGAGACTGAAATCAAAGGTACACAGCATTCTCAATTCATACTGATTAAACACACAGACTAAACCAGGTAATTACAGATACATGTGTTAGGGACTTTTTTTTTTAATTCATAAAATTGTTCCCATCTTTAAAAACACTTTAAAAAAAAAAAAGGTGGAATTACCAACACACAGAAACAGATGTTTCTGGTAGTTAAATGTCAGGAATTCAGACTCCTTGTCTGAACCAGGCATCACCTGGTTTTGATTCAGTAGTCATTGTTTCAGGTTCATTTGCTTACACTCTGTCCAGTGCCAGAGAGGTAAATTCACCTTTGGAAAAGAATATCTATACTATTTGCAAACACCTTTTCTTTAAACAACCTGTCAGTTACCTGTCAGTAATTTAGACCACCATAAATGGCCATGTACACACATAGATGTATTTATGCGTACCAAAATGACTTGATATTCTTGCATTAGCATTTTGTATTGGCATTTCATTCTGCTAACAAGAAAGACAACTAAATGTGATGTACCTGGATTCTCCTTCTTTTGCTATACTAAGATTTTCTTATTGTTATATTTATTTATTATATATTATATTAATGTATTTATATTTTCTATTTTATATGGATCTGTATTTTATTTATTTTATATTCTTTAGTACATATTCTTTTTCTATATTACAATATTTCTTTATTTCTTTCATATTAATGAAAGTTTCATTTTGACAGCTTCACGCTTGCTTGTATTGTGATCAGTAAACATGGTGTAATTCTGCTCCAGTTATACTTGCACAGTTTCCACATATTGCCATGCCCGCTGACCTCCCAGCTATTTGCTTTCAACTAAATTGCCAGCCATGGGTTTGGTCCATATTTCCCTTTATTTCCTTATCTGAAAATAAATGCACATGTACAAACATCCTCATGTAGACTTTTCCAAAAAAAACCACCTTCCTCCCACGTGGAATAATGCTGAAGCCAGCCAGCAAATGCCCAGGTGCAGGAATTCCTGCCTTGTGAAGATCTGTTTGCAGCACTGAAGTTCATGCTTTAATTGCATGGGAATTACTAAGAAGGTGTCAAACTTAGTCAAGTATCCATTTAGTTAATATAGGCCAGCATCTGAAGAACCTTCACTTGGCTTCCCTTTTTGAGGAGCACTTCTGACTCCAGGTGTGACCAGAGCCACCACAGAGTATTTCAGTATCTTACCACATGATCCGTATTGATGTCAGGAAACAGTAGTTTAATTCTAACAGTATTGGTTCAACTTTCTTATTAAAATAGACATCAGTTAACTATCAGACTACAGGACATGAAAAGTGATACATAGGTGCAAGATTTTAATGAAGTGGGGAAGTACCAAGCTGGCTCCTTACATGATTACTTAATATGTCCTACTTTGTTTGGTATATGATTTTGTCCACTGGACATATTATTTCTAATTTAACAGGTCATTACAACTTTAGTGTAATTGTGGGAATAAAACCACATAAAATAGAAGAATTTCAAAATAAATCCTACATCTCACATTTATACAGCAACTTACTGTGTTTAAAAGTTACTACAGTGCAAATTAACATAAAAAAACACACACATCACAGGGAGCTTGTACTGAGACTTAATGTGCAGAACCCCCTGTCCCACACAGCCCTCACCATTGTGACTATTCCTTGCTCCTTCCCATGTGCAAGTAGTGAAAAAGAGCAGCAAAGATCAGGCTCAGGCACCACAAGCTTTGGAAACAAATGCTTTCTGTTCACAGTGCTGGCTGATAGTCCCACATTCTACCAAAGCAAAGCCAGGTAATATCCTGTGCTTCCTATGTCCCTGCTGCTCATGTCTTTCCAGCAGATCCAGCTACCACAGACAAAGCTTGACCTAACTATGGGATTGAACACACTCAGGGTATCTTCCTTCCTGAGATGCTCTAGCAGACACCAGCAAAATGGAACACCCTCGCTGAGGTGTGTGCACAGCATCTTGGACAACAGATGGCCAATGTGTCATGTTGGTGACGAGATGGCAATCTTCATACAAGGGTATATGGTAACAACTACGGACTGCCTTACAGCTGATTTAAGGCTATCTTGTGTCACTGGCAAGATCCAGCTGGGAGGTTGAGATGATCCACTTCAAATACAGAAAATCAAGCAAGACAAACAGAACTTTGAAAAAACCTGAAGAAAGTCAGCCAGATTAATCAGAAGTCAGACAAACATAACCTGTGAGAAAAGACTGAATGAACTCAGACTCTTAAATGTGAAATGGTAGCCTAAAAGGAGCAGTAGCTCCTTCATATCACTGCAGCTGTAGCTCCTACACATCACTCCAGTGAATGTGTACATCCATCTCTACATGGACTAGCAGAACTAACAGGATCAAAATTCTCTTAAAAACAGCAGCAAATTGCCTAGAGATGTTGGAGAATCCCCATCATTAAAGCACAGGAAAATCAGAGGGAATGGTACAGCTAGAGTTGATCATGGATTTTAAAAAGGGAGAAGCCAATCTCTCAAAGCCTCTGCTGGTCTATATATTCTGTCTTTAGGTAGTGACCTACAACACTGCACTTCCAGCTCATGCTCTGTAGAGTTCCAGATATAGCTAAAACTATGAGGAGGACTGGACTGCAGTTTAACTCTGTACTGATTTGCCTGTGAAACAGTGAGGCTATACAAAAAGCTAGATTCTCAGACTAGGTAATTCAATTTAACTTCACTACCTTGAAAATGGATTAATTCAATGAAATTGAGCTAAATTACACCAGATGGGAATCTCACTCCGAATTTATGCCACCGATCATATTTCATCCTCCTCTTTCAACTGACAAGGAACATCAGTCTTGGGTCAGAGCCTTATCTTAGGTCAAGCTCTCAATTCTCATGCACTTAAGCTTCCATCTTCAAACACTCCTGTTTGCTCTCATCAAAATTCTTAAAAACAAAAGGTCTCCATTTCTGTGTTCTCCAGTACCAAAACACACTTGTCAGTAATTCTGCCCATCCTGTTGCTTTCATCTCTGAAATATTCAACCAGAATTCAGTATTTGCTTTCCTCTGACACTCCAGCTGAGACTTAGTATAGAGCTTGCTTAAATAAATAAAAAACACCTCTTTGTTCTGTCATCTTTGAGAAATTCTGGATTTCCCCAGTTTACCATGAAAGGAAGCATGGCTGGTATGAAGAACCCAGATTTTTCCCAGTTCTGCAATGCCCATGACATTCAAAACTCTACCACTGCTAACCACAAGAAAAGGAACATCTAGAAAGCACTGAAACCACAGGGGCATAAATGAGAACTGTATGAGCTGCTGAATAGCAGTGTAAAAATCCAGCAAAGTTGTTTATGAGAATTTTATACAAGAGTCACTAGAAAGGGAAATATATTGGTACTTTGGAAATTCCCACACTGTGTCAAAATGACATTCAAACTTTTAGATGTTTTAGATGTTTAGTAAAGTTACACCTATCATGGAACACTCCAGGCTTGCCCAAGCCCCTGTTTATTGAGTGAAATACATGAACTTTCATACAAGGCAGTGAGAGTAGCTAAATCCTGCAAACAGAAGTGCTGAGCAGCCCACAGAAGAGACGTGCAAGCTGGCGAGCCAGGCTTAGCTTAGCAGTCTGGGGCAGTGCCAATGCTCTCATCACATCTGGACTGATCCTGTGCAGAACACATGGCTCTGGTGCCTCTGTACTACCCACCACTGCAGGGGATGATGTGCTGCTTTCCAAGAGATGCTCTGCCAAAAAATTAAACATTAGCTGACATAGGTATTAAACTTAATACCAGCCTGAAAACTAGGCTTGCCTGAATCACACCATCTGATGCTCAGAGTCAGGTTTGCTGGCATGGTCCTGGTCTCAATGGATCGGTCAGCAGAGATTGAACCCAGCTGTCTTCAAAATGTCAGGTGTGATATTCACATACAACATGAACTGCTGCAATATAAACAAGCCCTAACATTACACATCTCCTAAAAGCAGTGTTGGACCAGTTACCTACTTGTTTTATCTGAGCAGATGTCAGCATCTGCTTTAAGTAGAGAGAACTGAAACATTTGTGTTCCTTCCCTGTCCCCAGCCCCCAACCTACTCAAAACTAAGGGATAACACTGAGTGTCAGATTTTTCAGTGGCATTTTATACCAAACCAGAAAGACAAATGTTTTGATGATCCCACCCCCCCTCCCCTTACAATCTGGGCAGTCAGTGTCTTTGCTAAACTGTTCACCCTCACTATTAAAATTTATTTGCAAAGCAGCACATTGCAGCCAAAGCAAGCACAGCAGTCGTTACAGAGTAGGCTGCTCACACATGTTTCCATACTTAGCCAAGCCAGCTACTGATGAATGGGCCATTTTTTGTCAAGCAACTGTAAGGAACTGGTAAAGAAATAATTCGTGGCTCAGAACAGCCATGCTGACAGGTAGGCTTTGTCCTGGTCCTTTTGCTTTCCAGCAGCAGTCTGCTCAGTCAGCTGGTCCTCAACCAATTTCAATAACAGAAAAGCATGAACATTAGCTGGTCAGTTGCAAGGTCTTATGTCAAGAAACTATGAAAATGTTTAGAAAGTAAACGCATGGACACTGAAGCAGTGGGAGTGCTAGTTAAACCATGCTGAACAACTCTAAGATAAGTAAAGAGCAATAGTTCAACAAATGAGTTCAAGTCAGAATCAGAAATTCTACCAATGCTATGTAATGTGGTCATTCTCAAAACCTTCCAGACCACTTCTTAAAAGTCGAGATGCTTCTGAGTATTACACCTCTCTTATTAGTCTTCTTACTGTCTTGTGCTCTCTTAATTTTGGAATTTTGATTTCATCATCTTAATATGCTCAGCTTCACTTTTTTTTTTTTAAGACAATCTTGCACTCAGAGATCCTATTTTTTCTGGGTTTAAGACAAAGCAAAACAGAATACCGAAAAAACCAAGCAAAATGAGGAAAAAAACCCAACCCAACACAGAAATCAGCAACACCAACAAAAAATGTCAAAAATCCAATCTATTTTTCTTTGTGATTTTTTTGAAAGGTCTTGGATTAGGAGGCTGCGTTATAATAATCACAAAACTCCTAAGGCTTAGTACTAGTTATCACTTTGAGAACTGCAGCAGACTGCAATAAAAATCATACCACAAAATTTACTATCAGAACAGCTTCAAGAAGACTCAGCTAGGTCCAAGCTGCATTTTACTGAATAACAAATCAAGGGAGAAACCTTGCCAATAGACAGGGAGTGGCTATATCAGTAGAAAATTGTATCTGATACATTACAAATCTGGCATCAAATTCTCATCTCCTTTCATAGTTACAACATCCAAAAGAAATAATGACACCCACTAGAGAAATACAGTCTGTCAGGAACTGCATGGAGGTTATACAGCAGCCTATAGTGAGCTTTCTTGCATGACTTGGAGCAATGTCCCAGCAAGGATAAGGAATGAGGAGAGGTGCTCATCATTCCCCCTGGATCTGCAAGACTTCAGAGGCTGCACTGGAACAGTCTCAGATTTGAAACTAGAAATATTCTAGCTCTAGAAATTTTACTCCAGTGCCTTAAGTGCATAGGAATCTGTGCTGCTGTAAGTGTTCTGTTTACAGCTGAAAGCTGTAAACAGAGAATTTATGTAGACCTAGAACCTAGACAAATGAGGAGCAATGTCCACAAAGATATTCAAGAGATAATTAATACCAAAACAAATGTGGAGTTTTATTCCTCAAACCTGAAAAACACAGTCTCATCTCTGAAGAATCACTTTTCAAACGATCTTCTATCCCCAAAGATAGGGGATAGAAGGGAAAGGGAAGGGAAAGTCCAGTCCATTCTTACAGAAGTCACCCTCTCAAAGGAATCCAAACCAGCCTGAGTTAACAGGTAACTGTGAGAAGCATTGCTCTAAGTGTTTGGAGTTTGTCATAATTAGAAGCTGAAGAGGAAATGCTTATAAATCTAACTCAATAAGCATTGCCACCATCTCCCTTCACAGTTAATCAATCACCTGCAAACACAAACTGTCAAACTTGATTTCTCTCTGATGGCTTACTAAAATTTGTGCCTCAAAACAGCCACCCTGGTGACCACAGGGGTGAAAGTTGCAGGATCAGGACACTAGACCTCATTTCTAGGTCCAGGAGGCTTGTAACTTCCCTGAGGACACACAACCCTGAGAACATCTATAACCTGAACAGACACATTTCATTAGAATGCAATTAAAAGAATTCTTTGTCCCAAGTCCTGTTCCCAAGAAGTGAGAAACCTTACAATCAGTTCTGCTGCAGAAGAAGTAAAGATGTTGTTACATGGCTTTTTCCAGAGCTTTAACTGCTCAGAAGTTAATCAGAGCACACAAACTCTCTACACATTCCTTTGGATACACATTTGCTTGTGGAAAAATGGGCTGTAGGTACTGGCACGTAAGCACTTCCTCTGTCCTGCTCACGCTATATCAGTGCACTAAATAGATTTAATTTGCTGTTTCCTCCAAAGGTATTTACCTTTGTCATTTTGGTTTTAACAATAGGAGTCTCTTGTATATATACACACACAAAATGAAAGCTCTTTAATGATGCTATGTCAGAAAAATGCCCTTACTATGAACAGTGCAAGGAAAATGTCCTTGAGTATCTTAGATACAAAAGTCCAATAAATTGAATTTATGTCTCATTTAATCTACAATGGAACAGCTAGTACTTAAAGGGTACATATACTTCCCCTAGTTCCTTTCTTCCTGAGAAACTTTCAGATGCTGAAAATCAATTCCTTTTGTCTCCTTGTTATTCATCTGCTACACATTAAGAAGAAACTCTGGGCATTCAGTGATCCCACAATGGTCTTTCATCTCCAGAGAAGCCTGTTATGAATTAAAAACTTACGCTCCCTCAAATTACAGATGCATACTGCAGCATGCCACTGACTTATGTGCTGGTGATTCCTCCCAGTGTTCTCAGCATGCTGAAGGTAGCTCATCTGCATCTCTCAACTTAAGTGACTCTTCTACAACACTGCCCATCCAGCCCATGCAAAGTGTTTAGACATGAGCATACACAAATATACGTCCCTGTGTAACAGGGACTGTCACCGACTCTTTTCCCCAACTCCCTGATGTTTAGAAGTTTGTTTTTAACAGTGTGCTACAGTCAAGATGTTAATATACAAACTGCAAATACTTTATGAAGGTAATGCTCTTTCATTTCAGTGGTCTTGAGAAATGGAGATTATATACAAATAACTTCCAACTGACAAAATTTCTTTGTCATGTCTGTTTTTAAGGGCAGTCTTAACTTGGGACTCTTTTTTTTTTTTTTAACAAGCATAAAATTTAATTGCTATCTAGACAGATGCAGCACTGGTCAAAAACGCACTGCTCTTTCACTCCCAGCTTCCACACAGTCACGGTGTCAGATGTCCCGTACCATAACAATTCAAGGTTTTCACTCTCAGGTTTGAAAGTACATCAAGGCTTAACATATTTATTCTTGTTTACTCTTTGATCTCTCAGTCTATTTTTTCTTCTACCAAATGCTCTTTGCCCATTCCTCAACTCTGAAATATTCCCTGCAGCCAAAGCAATACATTCAAAATAAGGAAACACTTGCAAATTCACATTCACATTCTGTCCTACAGGAGCCACCATCTTTTGCTAATCATTTCTACATCCAACACTTTTCCCAGACAAGTTTTTAGCCACCTTGCTCTACAATCTCTATCATGAATAATTTCTTTGTTTAAATTAGATTTCAGTGTCAAATATTTTCCACTGAGCATCTCTTTATCTATTCAGTATGGTAGTTTGAAGAGTTTTAAAATGAAGCTACTGAAAAGTCAAATTAGAACATTATATGTAACCCTGCGCAGCAGTTAAAAGGCGAGAACAGAGCTCAAGTTCGCTAGCTATTTTGAGCTCAGATTACAACACAGCCAAGGAACTTGGTGTATGCCTGACATACACATCCAGAACAGCTGGATGTGTATGTCAGGCATACACCAGCTGTGCAGAGAGTTAACAGCAGGCTCTGATGCCCTGTGTCACACAGATTGAAGCCAGCCCAGACACACCTTTGGTTTGCAGGCACAGGTGATGCCTGCTCAGCAAGGCCCTTACCTCACTTGAATCCTCCTGCTGGTTGATGACAGCCAAGGCATCCTCTGCCGCCTGGCGCTTGGCTTCAGCAACAGTGCGCTCCATCTTGGCCCTCTCCGAAGTGATCATGTCGTGAGCCTTCCGCTCGGCCTCCGACACCGCCTTCTGCAGCTCGGCCATCGCCTGGCGCTTCACTTCATTGACAGCTTCCTCTGCAAAGCAGGGAGAAACCCGCGTCAGCACAGCACGTCTGCACGCGCCTTCCTGGCACCGACGTGGGAAATGCACCGCTGTTGTTATCGTTACGTTGAGATTACTTTGAATTATAACCACAGTCGTCATTCTGAGTAGGACACAGAGGAACCTGGTTCCTCAAGAATCCTCAAGAAGCACTGAGGTTCTTCTCTTCTTCCCCATCATCGAAGTCTCTACCACTAGTAATGATTCTTGTTATTTTGATTCTCAAGCAGTACTTCTTTAGGTACAGTGATTTCAGATCCCTGGTCCACTTTATTTGCAATCTTTTTGAACATGGAAAAATTAGTTTTGCAGCACAGCAGATATATGCATATAGTTGACAATTATTATTGAAGACATATTACAGACTTTTTAAAAAATGTATTTTTAAGCTCAGGGACATTAAGACAGGATTTATGATCTTTAACATCTTTTTCCCCATATGTTAAAAAATAAATACATGAAGTTAAAAAACCCCAAGAGTTTATTTAAAATTTTAAATCACTGGTCTAGTATCTTTTCTTGGACATACTGTTTTATGAGAAAAAAAAAATTGTTTATCACCATTCATTTGACCTCCTGATCTGTCCTTCAAATCTGTGTTTGTGCTTGAAGACTTGACTTCCTGGCTCTTCTGAGCTCTTGAGCACACCCTGCCCAGCGAGACTTTGGAGCACAATTAACACTGAGCAGGGGCACCCTGCTTTATTAAACTCAAACCTTCATGCTCCTTGTACAACAACTATGGTAGCATGAGTCCTTTCTTTGGTACATACTAGTGTCATATCTTTCATTCCAGAAAACATGGATTGTCTCAAATCAGTTATTTGGCTTTTGATGCAGGAAGAGTACAAAGATTTTACTAATGAACAGTCTTTTAATTGACAACTAAAACAAGTAATTTCTTTTTTTTTTTTAATTAACTGCTCTAATTAACAAGGAAACCATCCTCCCCCTGAATTAGTTTATCTAATTTTCATCTTTATTCAAAGCAAAATGACAATGATTAATTGAAAATTTAATAAGCAGTAATTATTAACTTGGCAAACCTAGTACCAATTAACACTCTATTAAAACTAATTATGACATGTTTCATTCAAGTGTTTGCACTTAATTGTTTCATGCACTTAAAACCCACCTTAATTAAATGTTCTGTTTAATTAAAGCCACAGATTTCTATTAAAAATGTTTTACTGGAGATTAAAATCTGAATAATAGAAACGGTGTTATGTGTTTGAGTTTTAGTGTGTGTACTCGTGTGCACGAACATGCAGACAGAACTCTGATGTACAGATACTCAGTCACTCTCCTGAGTTACATCTGATAGCTCTGCACATGCTATTTAAAAAATAATGTCTATTTGAAGTCTCCATTTTCAGTTATTAAGCAAATTACAATAAAGTCTTAACTTTAGGCCTTGTACTGACTAAAACTGAACTAAAATGAAAGAAGAGCTCTACTGAGGAGCATGTGCACATGTTACATATGTGCATATCTGCAAGAGATGTTTCAGCTGAAGTTTTCAAGGGGGTGGGGAGGGATTTAGAGATAAAACTTATGCCTTTATTTTCATGAGGCTGAAAATACGCCCTTATATTACCCTACCATAAATGTTGTTTAGGGAAAGCCTCAGGAGAGGAAAAAATCATACCCTTCAACCATACAGCCAAGGCTTAATTTCCTTTGAATATTCAAGGTGAATTAAAATTCTATCTAAGTGGCAATACAGGACAATAATTTTTGCTTACGATCAAAGCTACAGCTAGTCTAATTGTATATGCAAATCAGGCAATTTATATTTAAATTATGCATTCCTATTCTAGTCCCACAGGCACACGGAGATCAGCAAAGGGAATTGGTAGGACATTTGCAAGGTGCTTGAATATTTATTACCAACTGTAACCATTCACTGATCATGAGAAAAGAAATATACACAGGCAAACATACAGATGCAATTTTATTACCATTTTCAGAAAAATGAGACAACTTAAATACAGGCGTTTCATGTCTATGAACTGCAGTTACTGACAAAGTGGATTTCGTTAAGAAACTCTGCGTTCTTGCTGATATTTGCTACTAATAGAAATGATCTTTGAATGACATGATGCACTTTTGTTACATTATATAAATTTAGTTTTACAGTTAGGTGTTTGTACTGGTTAGAAATGCCAGTTTCTTTAATAAACAGAAGCAAAATGCTCCAATATTTTTACATGGACTTTTAATTGCAGTTTTTCATCCCAGATAATCTACTTCTTTTCAGTCCAAATATAGAAATTGAAAATTATATTGTATCATCTATATTGGGTAAATTTTTTGCAACACTTCTTGCATGCTCTTGCATGAAGATGCCTGAAAGTGCTTATGAGGCCATATGCCTGACTGATATTTTTTGACTGGCTTAAACTATGGATCGGATTTTAATATTTCCATTAACTTTGATAACAGAATTTGTATTGTTCTATATTAAGTGTGAAAATAAATAAGTTAAAATATGTCAGGTCACAATGCACCTTCAGTATTTCAATATATTACAAACTCATGAACACATAAATAATTAGACAAAATTTTGTATCATTGATCTTCTTCACAGCTTCCCAAACTAAATACTACTGATATTTTATAGGCATGGAATATTTATAGGCATAGATATTTTATAGGCAAGCTTCATAGTTTAAGATATGTTTGTGATATGGGTGACGGTGAAGGAGATTTTTATTTGCCTTGACAATGCTGAACTATGAAGACCAAGAAAGACCAGCACCCTTCCTTTCCCTGTGCTTCAGAGAAAGGAAGAGTGATTAGATTCCAGTATCAGAGGGCAGAAATCTGCAAGTTTTTAAAACCTAGTATCTAAGATGTGTGTACCTGCATCCTCTGTCTTCCCAGCAATGCTAAGCATTCTCAGCACAAATTCACTGTCATTTTAGGAATGCAACTGAAATCCTCCTTCCCTTTGAGCAGCATTAACACAAAAGAGAAGCTCCAGGAAGCAAACAGCTTGTGTGGAATAGGCATTACTCAGCATGGTCTGAAGTCCTTGGAGCAGACTTAAGAAAGGTACTTATCTTTCACCCAAAATGATGATTCACCAGCCAGCTACTGGTGACCTCCCTCACCTCATTGACACAATTGTCCACATGATAAGAAAAGAAAGGGGGTGGGCAGATGTGCAGTCCTGTGCCACCACAACATTTTGGATCATCTCACTCTCAGGCTGACCCTGGCAAGGGTGGCCATTGGCAGTTGGTGACAAAAAGTTATCTCAGCATTATATCCCAAAATGCATCATCTGTCTCAGGACTATCTCTGTACAATGTGCAGGACCCTTCCTGCCTTTGTAGAGACAAAGGATGGTCATTTCACTCTTCTTCTGTAACTCCAGAGCTTTCAGCTGGACTGCCATGGGCATTGAGCCTGGCTAAGTGACAGTTTCTACAAGACACAGAAGAAGCTATTGCAGCAGCCCACAATGGGCCTGCGACCCTCTCTGTGTTTAATAAAGGGAAGTTTGTACTCCCAGAGAGAAAGTCACCCAACCTGTGATCTGACTGATCCTCATTACCTGTTTCCCTCCCTCTTGACTGCTGAGGAACACCAAGAACTTGTCTTGGACACTTCATCCATAAGTGTCCATAATGCAATGAGGTGAATCAGGGCACTGATGACAGCTTTCTTCTGGTGTGTGAAACTGAAGTGGGCTTACATGGCTTTAACTCATGAGGTACTGCATAATATGTCCTTGCACCAGCAGCCACAAAAGCACATGCCTACCTTGGTATATTTTCAAGACTTAGGCTGGAGTCTACCAATTTCCAAAAGTTTAAAGTGAATCCCTTCTCCACATGCCATTTTTATGCCACTTTCTTTCAGTGTAATGGATTCAGCATTCCAAACAGAATTTCATACTTGATTCAGCTCTCTGCACATTGCTCTTTACAAACATTTGACACAAGAAGAGATCCACACTGAACCAAAAGAAATAATCTGTGGGGGATTTGTAGTCCTCTAGACTGGGAATTGCTGCCCACCCAGGAAACCATGGAGCATCTCAAATGGCATCAGAGGCCTATTCTCAGAGAGCTGAATTGCACCTTTACTGCCTTCATCATGAAACTGTGGACACCTCCAGTTTCAGACCATCCTCCTAAAAATGCAGGACCATGGTTTATGAAAGCAGTATGCTTTCTAATGTTTGACTAGACTTAGTAACAGATACAGGTATGCATCCTGCAGAGTCACACTTCTTTTATTCTCCAACTCACAGGCACAATCACTTGATTTAAACCCACATCAGCCTGAAAATAAGAGACTGGAAACAGGACCAAAGGAAAAACTTTGTTTCAAAGGAACAGATGACATAGATGTTCACAAGATGACATCACAGGTCCTGTACACAACCATTCATGAACACATGCAGTGTGAATGCACATCCAACTTCATAACTCAAGCCAAAAGCTTCAACTAACTTGTGTTAATTATGAAGAAACTTTTTTCTTTTATTGTATTGAATCCATAAGTCATAAATAGTCTGATGCCAAATTACATCAAACCCTAGATTTTTCAAGAGGACTGAAGTTTTTGAAATTTAACAGAATAATGCTCCTAATAGTGAAATTTCCTGGGATTGCATATATTTTTGTATTTTTCACTTAAAATGTTAACATAAATATGGCAATATGAAAATATTCTTGGGCACTGAGATACAAAGGCTACACTTTCCTTGGACAAAACCAAGAAAGTACACAGTTTTGCTATTTTTCACAGAAAATGCAATAGTTCTAGAAACATTAACATATTGAAAAATGTAGACCTTACACGATAAACCCACATTACACACAAAACACAACTCCTTGTCTGATGCAACAAGATAACAGCATAACATTTTTACCTGTATGCTGTGTATCTAGTTTAAAATACACTGGAAAGCAGCAAGCATTTACAGGAGATTTGATCAGAAAGCATCAACACTGCTGCATATTTGCCATTTAATCATTAACTGCTGCTCAGACAGCTGCTGCAGACTTCATGGTTATACAGGTGTTCAAAAGCAGGGGGGTGTGTTTGGGTGTATAAATAGCTCCTCAACTATCTCGAAGGAGTTGAAGAGCTGCCTCCAGGCCCCTCTGAAAACAAGGAAGCTCTGATGTCAGTGTCAGAAGAGCAAAGGTTTAGCTCCAGCACCAGAGTGGGATCCTTGCCAGGAAACTCCTGTGCTCAGGCAAAGTTTCAGTGTTAAGAAAACTTTGCACAACCACAGCGTCTGCCCAGGGTGCTTTCCAGGCACAGGCAGATGCTGTCAGTGCCCTGCAAACAGCCAGAGCAGCTGCAGAGATGTGAACTTGCTGACTTCATTGCACACTCTGCAGGTTTATGAGCACAGGCTTCACTGGGGGCTGACAGGCACAAAATCTTTTTTAAATTAAGAATGGTTACTTTGCATATTTGAAGTCTTTTTTTTTAACAGGTGTACTTGGGGTTTTTTTCCCCTCCATTGGGAATTCTTACTTTAACTAGGTAAGAACCCTGAAGCTAAAAAAAACCACCCACACTAACCTCTTTTTTTTAAATTGCTAACAGACAAACTTTTAACATATCAAGTTTCAGCCTGAAACCATTAGAAGCCCTGAAAATAGGGGTCCATATTGGAAGTACTGATATTCCCCTAACTATAGCAGCAGATGCATCTATTATAAAATTATTTAATGTCCCGATCAGTTCCAGTTTAAGATTATTAAACACAATTTCTTCTTGTTACTAGTAAGCCCTTCCCCCGCCTCCCAGTTCCTCACATCAGTGCATTAACAACTGCACACAGCTGCCAGACAACTAAGCTGGTGTTTTTAAACATTTCTTACCAGCTTTCTTCCAGATCTCCTCTGGCACGTATCCAGACGCAGGCCTGTGAAGGAATTCCCGATGAGATTCTGCAGGAGGAGGGGGTGAACAGGGAAAAAGAAAGAGCATCATAAGCAATGCTGGCTTGTTGAGAACAGGGCCTAGAGAAAAATACCTTTTCTCTTTAATTATAGCTCAGACAAAGAAATCAAGTGAAGCTTTTCTCTCCACAAAACAAAACGGATGCCATGGTCGTAGCTCATTAATGTCACATAGATCAGATCAATTCTTATGATTTGTATGCCTCATCTTAAGCCAAGTTAAGACCTTCATTTTATTTTTATTTTACAGTGCTTTGAGTTGACTCTGTATGACAGTATCCACACTTTTAAGGGAGGCTTTGCAAGACAAACTGAGGGAGTGACATGCTTTGTCCTTTCTCATTGTATTTATGAAAAGGAAAAAGAAAGGGCAACAGTACAGGTCTGGTACTTTTGGTCTGTGCAAAATAGTACTTATGAGTACAGATAAAAGTCAAGATGTCATTCCAGAGATCAAATAAGTTGTCCACAAAAAAGCAAAGGGGTGTTTCTCTAAGTTCAGAGCTATGCTTTCCTATATCTGAGCCCATGTTGGCAACTGTAGCTGCAAGAGTTTGAAAAACAGAACCTTTAACTTTAGGTTAATGCCCTAAATAAAGGCTGCCGAACAACCTCACTGAAGCTGAAGCTCATAATTCACCTATATATTTCAATCACATTTTGACAGCTCTTTCCCCTTCTCCTTTTTTTTTTTTTTTTTTTTTTTTTTTTTTTTTTTTTTTTTTTTTTTTTTTTTTTTTTTTTTTTTTTTAAGGTTTAACCTTTAGGCCTGGGCCTAAGAGTTTTGAAATCAGCAAGATTCCTTCCACAGGGAATTCAAAGACCTTAGATCAGACGATACAAAATGAAAATTCACTTTGGCCTGAAATTTAGCATATAGATCCTCAGCAGATGAAATTGAAATTGCTCCTTTCAAATACAATTTAAAAACTGATTAACTATTATTCAAAGTAATAGAGGACGAAATGAACAAACTACAACCAAAAACATAAAACTATGTTCACTGCCATGATTACTATTGCCCGTGTGTCAGAAATCAATTGCCTTAAGAAAATAACTTGATTTGTTACATTACAGACAGGTTTGAATGTTTTTGGAGAAACAAATACCTGAAATCAAATACCTGTTTGATGTCTGGGATTGAAATATAACAAGAGTATACCTGCCATTCTTTGAATACTAATTATGACTAAATGTATTCATTTTTGTATCTTAGGAGCTTTTATTCACTTATTTATTCCCTAACTTGGTCAAAAAGCAGTATTTTTAAGAAAAAGTGAAACATCAGGTTTTGCAAATAATTTCTTACACCACTACATGTATCCATACAGTACTGTTTATATACAGTAGCCCACATAAACTTAAATGCTTTTAAAAGATGGCAATATTGCAGGCAGCTAATAAAGGTGGAAATGACAGGAGCTTTTTCAACAGAGAGTAGGGAATCCCTGTGCACTGTTTCACAGATGTAGTTTCTAGCATGAAAATCTGCAGACAGTGACTGGGAGTACATCTTCCCATCTGAAAGGCAGCTGCGCGGATTTACCCAGCTCTTCTGTTTGTCACTGAAGTATGGGACAACAATTTAAAATAGATTTTTGTCAGCAGACTTTCACACTTCTCAAGCATAAAATAATAGGAGTGTGTGTGTGTGTGTGTGTGTGTGTGTGTGTGTGTGTGTAGATTTTGCAAAACAGCTATTTATATTGGTTTAATCAACTTGATAGATGTTTTCAGACCTGATACCAAAAATGGGAAAATTCTCAGTATGGCTTGGCTTACATGATTTTGGAGATGACGAATAGCCTTGTGTACAGTTTTCACCCCTTAAAAGCTTTTAGACTTACAGGCACAGTGCCAGTTCTTTTAGGGGGATAGAGGCAACAGCAGAAAATATTGTTTGAAGGCTCAAGAAAAAGAAAGGCAAAAAATTAAATCACTCTTATTTGCTCTTCATGGAATACCTGCAGGAACAGACCCAACCAGGCTCCAAATGTGGCAAAACAAGGGGTTTGTTGCATTCATGCCTTTACTTTGTATTGAGTTTTCCTGCCTTCTCTTTAAGGTACCATCCAATGCAAGGGAAACAACCTTGATTTAAGTCTATGGCTCTTAGTTTTGGGGAAAAAAAGAAAGAAAAAAAAAAAAAGACAGTGAGATGTGGAACTGATTTTTTGGTACACATGACTTTCCAAAAATGGAATTCAATGACATAAATGACCAGATTGCCAGATAATTGTTAAAATTTCCAAAACATAAACATCAATCAAGCTCTTATTCCAACCACAAATTATTTACATGAGGAATGAGATCCTCTGCAAGAAGACTTAAATCAAGAGCTTATGAGAGACTTTCCCATAGTTTGGAATGGTGCACAAAAAAGACAAGAAGCACTTATGAAGATAATAAAAACCATATTTTCCAAGCCAGAAAAATTTTAGTAACATGGCTATTGTTTAGTCAGTGGTGATGAGTCTGTGAAAACAATCTTCTTTCTAAGGCTAAACTACAGGAAATGACCAGAGGATATAAATCTTACATATTAGTGTTTTTAAGGTAAGGAGTCCTTCAGTTTAAGAGTCACAAAAATTGCTCATTAAAACCGAAGCACAAAAGATCTTAATTTGAACATCTAGCAATCTCAAACCAAGATTAACACAACTGAGTGAAGTCCCTAAAATACTAAATTTAAAAGCAACTGCAAAAAGCCATAATGAGGACAACACATAATATTAAATAACTAACTGCAGCACCTAGAAGTCAAAGTAAATGTTGCCTAGAAAAAAACAGAATGAAATCAGACAACAATAAGAATAATCTGAAGTGATAAAGCAGATCATTCAGAAAAGGATCGGAAAAGGCTTTACATGTCAGACATTATAACAAAGGTTTGTTAATGGAGAAAATACAAAAATATCATTATGCAGGACAACAGTATGTACACTACTGAATTTACTTAAAATTTATGGCAAGGCATGAAAGCATGTGTTGGTAATTAGTCCAGTTCCAACTGAACCAAAGGAAAAAGATGAACAAGAAAAATAAAAAGCATATCTATATGAGAATAGTCTGTACTTGTCTGTAAGTGCTTAAATGAGGTAAAAACAAAAGAGACTTTTGATATCAAAAATGGTATTGGAATTTTCTATTGCAATGTCAAATAAACTTGTGAAATAGTAAAAAAGTTGCTGGAGTGGGAAAAGAATACACTTGAAGAAAACAAAAAAAATTGCATTGGTTTCAGCTCTCACATTCAACTAAAAAATTTTGGTGGCTTTAAGATAAAGAGAAAAGGTGCTGAAAGAGAGTGACGTGCAGGGATGTGGAGAATTGTGAGAGCAGCCATAAATATGGATCTGAGAAGTGAAACTGAGATGAAACACTAGGACCAAATAATTTATATGAACTCTTATGTGATCATAAGGTTCAAGCCCAAGAAAACAGAATAGAAAGACTTAGAAGGAAAAGAAATGTTCAGTAATCTCAAAGAGTCTAATTCACATTTGGAAAGAAGGACAGAAGATAAGCTGGCAAAACAAAAGAATTGAGGTTTTTATCACTGGACACTGACATGCAAGTGTATAACACAAAGTATTAAGAAATGGAGATGAACAGCTGATGTTTTGATGATCTTTTAGAATTTACTGCATTCATGAAAATACTGACAGTGATAATAATACCCTGCATGCTGTACTGAATATTGAGGCTCAAAAATAATAAAACCTACATATAAGCAGCCCTGAACAAATTAAATATATATGCCTTTTTGTGTATTTATGTGGTTTCCATATTTCATATGCAAGTTCTGCTTCATTCTATCCTATAATAAATGCAACACCACTAGTGGGACACAGAAAACAAACAAAAAAAATTCTCAGAGCAACAAATATAAAATATTCACTGCTTTGTTTGTAGGAGTCAAGTTCAAAAATGTGCCAGTTCCACATAATGAAAAATAGAAATAGAGATCTGAAGGTGTGTATTACTGAATGAGACTACCTTGCAAACCTGGTTGGGGGGCAAGTGTTCCCAGTATTTTTAAATATATCTTTGCCCTTCTTTGCCCTCTAATACATTTTTGTGGCTATTGCAACACCTCTTGAAAGTGTGTTAAAAATATAGTTGTTGTGTTCTCATTGTAAAAGAAAAATAAAAGAAAAGCCACATAGGTACTGTATTACTGAATCATCCTCAAGCAGAGGCCACTGAGCACTGAGAACACACACATGCAATGTTTCTGCAGTTGGAGCCCTACCTAACAGCAGGCAGTGCACTAAGCCACAATCTAGCCCAAGCCTCCCATGCAGAGAGTGGATTAAGAGCAATACTTAATGTCATCAGTGACCAGTATCACAGAGGCTTTACATTCTAGAATTACAAGTTATGAATGTTACTGTGGTAGTCACAGCATTACGGTTTGCTCATGTTGAGAATATCATGCATATCACAGCACTGCTGATTATCTGCAAATGGCAAAGGAACAGGTTTATCATCACAGCATGAATGTGTTGGCAGGAATGCTCTGGCTAACACTGAAAACATGATGGTGAACAGCTTTAGAAAAAATAAAATGGGTATGAAAGGGTTAACATTTAAAAATGTATTAAGAAATGGCTAACCTATGTGTTTTTGACAAACTCATACACTTCTGAGAATCCTGGTTTCCTGAGGCAAATCCTGCAGGTATTGCACTCTTCAGTTGGAGATTTCAAACTCTATTTTGTAAGATTTCCATTCAGATAAATTCAACAGACACAAAATATCAACACTGCTGCAGACCTTCTGATGTGTGCCTGCTCCACTTATCTAGAGCCACAGCTGCACTCAGTACGGTTATAGATCTTGTTTATAACCCATGATGCTGAAGAACCCTCATCTTTAATTTATCCCACTGTGTGTATTTCAGTATACAGTGTCTGATATGGGTAATTATTCACTATTAGGATGAAAGTTGCAGTCCTGCTGCAGTATGTAGTACTGAAATTCTTCAGCAGAAATGGAGGAGTTGGATGATGTATTATTCACTTCACAGGCCATCACAGTTAATCAAATGAATATATATAAATTCTGAGTCATTTTTAGACTTTCATAAACATGTATTATTCAGACTGAAAAGACCCTTTTACCTTCAGCACATTCTTGGAGAATAATGGGAGCTTGTAACCTGTTGTAGCTGGCTAATGTGTGTATTGGATTACATTGCATTAAAATGAATGATCAAGTATTTAATTTAATTTTTTAATTAAAAATGTCAACAGAAAAATATTGATCAGATATTGTAAACTTCCAGGCTCAACATGATTTACAGGGATGTCAAATTAAAAGAAGCAGAAAAATATTTGGCAGGAAAAAAGTCTACTGGTTCAAAATGACAACCAGAATTTTCTTCCATTACTTTTCAACTCAAACTATCCATGCTAGATCTCAGCTCAGAGATTTTCAGCAAGACCTATCGATGAAGACTGTGGCATGTTTGTAACGAGAAGTTATCACTTCAGTGATGATATTTGAATCGCAAAGAAAAAGAAACAAAGGCACAGATAATGCAGCCATATGGCCCCCTTATTTTTCTCCCTTGCTAGTGGAGATGACAGGATGGATTTAAAGGCTGGAATACCTTGCTGAAAAAAAAAAAAAAAAAACCAAAAAAAAGGTACAAAGGAAATTCACAGACATTTAGAATCTCTGTAGCAAACCCCCCAATATTTACATGCTGCAGTACTTTAATTAAAATATTGGAGCAATTTTTCAAACCCTTTTTCCCCACTTCAAAACTAAAATAAAAAGCCCTAAAGCACCTTAAGGCTCACAGACACTGCTTTAGTTTCGTTATACCACTGAATGTTAGGAGTTTTCATTTTGTTAACTAGATTTGAGGAAATATAAGGATCAGCTTTCCAAAGACTCCAAAGTAGGTATTCTCCCTGTCATGTCAGACATAAAAGCACTTCTTACCAATATTTACAACTGACATGGATGCTACATCACTGATGCAATCCAAGTTTCATGTTTGTGAGTCTCAGAAGTATTTTTTCAACCAAATACCCAAACTGGACATGTTAAAATTGAATGGATTCCAACCAGTTCATTTGTATCCACAGTACTGCAGAGCTGACTGATGTGTCCAATGCCAAAGACCATGCTGTATAACTATTTTTTTAGCCAGAAGACTTTGCTGTTTTCAAGAATTCATCTTGACATATACACAAACAAATGCTAATATAGGGATCTAACTGTATGCTTGATCTTCATTTCATCTTATGTACCTAATGTTGTGGTGATGACTATTTTTCTTGGATTGTAATATTATCTATAAAGTTTTGATGAATGCAATGAGTTCCAGTTTCCTTGGAGAAGTATAAATACTCAAGTTGCCTCTCATTTTTTCTACCTACTAAGTACACAGGCACCATGGCCTGTTTCTTTTTGCATCACAGCATCACTAGAGAAGCAAGCCACTGCTTTAGATCTATTTGCAAGTGTTCTTCCTGAAGTTGCAGATGTGATTGACGCTTCAGATGCCGTATTTATGAGTCTTTCTTTACATTACATTTAGCACTGTTCATACAAGCCATTACCTGAATACTTTCTGAGAAGGGCTCCTCTAGGGACTAGACTTATTAGTGAACTATAGAAGCATTTCCATAACCCTTCCTTCCAGTGATTGGAGCACATTTATAGAGCTATTGACTCAGGTAATTTCACACACGCACACAAAAAAAAAGATTTGTTTGTTATCAAGAGGCACTAAATATTACTATCACTATATCAGCAGTAATTTACTAAGAGAATGATGGAGATGGGATTAGATTTTTAGATGTTTTCTGTTTTCCTATTTTCAACTAAATAAATTTTTGACTTAGTAATACTGTTATTTAAGAATAGGCAAAAGGAAAACAGTTAAAATATGGTTGCAAAATAACACACATTCTACTAATTCTATTCTGTAAGTCTACTAATGAACACAGTTTATTATGATTTTGAGTAGATGGCATTGGATACAGACAATTAATTTTTTTATAAGACAATATCACACAAGCAAGCATAGACTCCTGATGTCTTCAAAAGATCAAGAACAATAAAAAGGTATCACTGAGATGTTTATGTACCAGATCTGCCATGAAAGCGAGGAGATGGGGTAGAAAAAGGCCAAAATACTAGTAACTCACAGAAAGTCCCCAAATTAAAAACTTGTTTTTATAGAGCAGAGTCCTCTTAGAGTAGTTGTGTGATGTACTGTGTGAGAGTGACTGTGAAGGTCTGCAGGAGGGAGACCCCAGCTGTTTGGTCTGCTCCTTTAAGGCGACTGCAGCCCACCCAGCTCAAGCTCTGCTGCCTGAGCCAAGGCCTGCACAGCTCCATGGAACTACACAACAAACAGTCCTCAGACAGACCTGCAGAAGCTGCAGTGACAGACACAGATCTAGGAGGATCATACGTGCATGACTGTGAGCATTCCAGATCTTGTTCCTTTTTTAAACAGAAGCCAAGTACACCTAAGAAGTGCCTATATCTTTACAACTCCATTTCCTTAGAAAGACAACTTGCAAGTTAAGTAATTTGATTTAAGAAGATGAAAGCCCTCTGTTTCAAATTGCAAACAATCCAGGAGCACATACAGATTTTTTTAAACAATCGGGAAAGAGAAGGAGTCAGAAGGGACAGAGAGTCAGTGCACATCTCACTGCTCTGCCACCCCTACACACTCTGTTCTCTCACCCCGTCCTCTCAGACTTTGCTGAATGAAAAGAAAATTACCAAGCATCACCCAAAAAACCTCAAGCCATTCCACCCAGAAACACCACTATTAGGGCATAAGAGTTATAATGAATTCAGTAGTCAGCAGAGAGGAATCATCACTATAACAGAAGAATCAGAACAAATGCCAACGCCATCTATCACTTAACTGAGCTTAGAGAATCAGCACACGATTTTCAACGAGGATACTGTACCTAACGAAACTGGATCTGGATTCACTGGACTCTGCTGTCTGGAATGACTACTGCTGCTGTTTCCGCCTTTTTTTAAATCCTCCGCATCACTGTACCGCCGTATCCAGTAATTCAGCTCCTCGCGGTCTGCTTCCTGACATCGCCGTAGGACAGTGAGAGATCGTCTGGTTTTTTCCACCATGTCCATTATACAGTTCAACAACTGTTCACACCAGTGGATGGAGCACAGAAACAAGAGGAACTTTTTATTCACAGAATGACATAATAATAAAGAAAATGCCAATGTACTGAGTGCATGGGTTTCAATAATGAAGGAGTCTCTCTCTGTTAACCTCAACTACAGCTGAAAAATTCTAGACTTGTTTTAAAGAATGACAATCCCTTCCTTTTTAACTGGTGATCCTAAACTATACAGATAGGGACTTACAGGAAAAAGAGCGAAGACAAGGAGAAAACAACTGATCAGGCTGTAGCCCTGCCTCTAGTATTACACGGCACCACAGAGGACACAAGATGTAGTCCAGAACTGATACCGACAAATTTTACAAGAGCTAATAAATTCAGGAACAAATCCAAGCCCCAGATCCAGTGTTTCTAGAGAAAGTCCATTCCTCTTTTGGCAGACTGTAATAATTAGGATAATGCAGGAGACACTTATCAGCAAGGCCTGGCATGAACTATCTAATGGGGAGCATCAAGCCCTCTGATTTAATAAGCAAAGCTTTCAAAACCTGTCCTGGAATTCAGATAGGTTTTAAAATAAAAATTTTAAATTTCTATCTTAGAAGGCCTCTGTTCAGACAATTATACATAAGTGGATATTTAGCCCTTACGTGGTCAAGATGTTTCCACTCTTCTGCCCATTCTCTGTCTGTTAGCCTGTGATCAATCATTTCTTCTTGACGCGTGCCATGCAACCCTGCCAAAGAGGAGCAAATTATGTTTACAACATTGGAAGTCCTCTACGGGAAAAAAAAGGCAGAAAAAAAGAGCCTATAGACAAAAACATCATATATTACCTGTTCTAGCATGAGGAATGCCACCACTAAAAAAAAAAAAAACAAAAAAAAAAAAACCAAAACCCTTTGCTCTAAGTTCCCTTTAGTACTTTTCCTCACACAGGATGCTACTGTTTTGTCTATTTTAATGTCTTCAATTCTGTACATTCTGTATGTTGCAAGATGACCTTTGAAAAATGGGCATAGCTCTCTCTGACTATATATAATTATTATATACATAAATATAACATAATACAATAGATAATTTTTCATTTGCACCACTTGAAGTCATCAAGGCAATTATTTGGTAACTCAGTGCATATAATACTAGCTGTACATCAGCGAGCTGAAAAAATATTAGTATAAACTCAGTGTTATTTCACTAAATACAGTAATTACTGCCATGTCAACAGAGCATCATTAAGGGTTCATCCCTCCACAGATGTTTAAACAACATGTGGTTAAAATGTAGCACATATATCAGAGCAGCTGACAACATGATACAACCAAGCCAGTATTTATTATCAACACTCAAGGGGAACCAGCACTTGTTCTTTGCTTAGCCTCCTCTATACAGATGCTGAATATTTGTAAGTGTTCCTCTTTTACTGAAGATTTGTTTAAAACAAGGAAGAACCATAAGTGCAGATGTGAAGCAAAATCCAAGAGCATCAAGCATCCCATTAAACCAAACCATGCTGAGTGGGGTGTGGCTGGTGCTTCTGCTGTTCACATCCTCCACGCTCTGGACACGTCACACAAAAAACACTTCTCTGAAAGTTAACAACTTTCTTCTGCTCTAAGCTGAAATCCTATCCTCACAAATTTGACATTAGAAGAAAGATAAAAGGCTCTACCTATCCTTGCCTGCCATATACCTGAGTGTCCATGTCACCCATGCAGCTTTGAAAACACAGGTTCCTGCCATTTCTGACCCTCTTACTTAGAGACAAAATTCAATCCACTTTTACAAATACAGATCTGGAATATGGCAATTAGAAGCAGCTGGATGGACAAACAGCCATAAAAGCTATATTTGAACTGCAGATAAAAAAGTCCTGTTCACAAAATAGTTACAAGGGAAACAGAAACTTAAAAAAACAATGCAGAAAATCAACGTGCCTTACCCATAGGTCTGTTTCTGTCCCTGAGGTCCCTGTGATTGGGGTGTCTGTATGAGTCCCTGTAGTGGTGGGCAATGGCCATATCATCCAAACGATAATGCTGAGGTGGAGGTGGGGTGGGATGAGGCAGACCATTGGGCTGATAAGATATGCCATTATTTGGACTGTACCGCTGGCCTGGGCTAATAGTGCAGGGCCGCTTGCTTGGATGCTCTGAGTGCAAAGGCTCTCTGTCAAAGCCATTTTCTTTGGTTCTGAAAAACAAAGCAAAGGAACTTTAATTCACTTAGTCAATAGAGCTTGGGAACATGCACCCCCACCTACACATGCAGCTTCAGGAACTAAAGATTGTTCTTCACTTTGCTCCAAATGTGTGGTGTTGCAGAACATTTCATAACACTGCTGATTCAAAACATACAAAGGACTCATTCACCTTGTTTAACCATCCCTGCAACTTGAGAAATACTATCAGGGTGAGCCTTCTGACAGAGCCACCTAACAAGGGGCTGGAGAGCAAGCAGTCTTTGCTGAGATCACAGACTGATGGGGTAGGTACACATACATTTGCAGAGATGAAACCATCAACTGATACATGAAACTAGGGACCCAGAAATTCTTGTTTTCAGCAGTGCTATAGCTTATAGTCATTAGGAGAAATCTGCCATTCAAGAAATGGATTTTTTTTTTAAGAGGATGCCATAGTGAATGTCAGTGTGCTGAAGCTTACCATACCATGAGCTCCCATCAAGATCAGTGTCACACAGAGACTTTGGGGAAGAATCGACTCTAAATGGTGAGAAATGCATCCTTCAGAAATTTTTGCACCATCTGAGCAAAGGTGCTGTGACTATCATTAATTTGCAGGAAGATGTGGTTAGACTCAAGCCCTCAGTAATGTTCAGGATTTCCCACTCCATTACTCTTAGACAGGGGTTTTATGCTTAGGCAACTTGGAAAAGCTACTGAGGAGAAGGACAGGGTGTTTTTATGTTCCAGTAACTCTTCAATTAAATTCATAATCAGCTATTTCCAAAGAACTCTCTACTTGACACCTCTGCCTGAGAACCTGAACTCACTCTGAACTAATTCTCCATTAAAATGATATTAAAAAAACCCACAAACAAACAAGCAAACAAAAAAAAAATGAAAATAAGAAAAAAATTAAGAAAAGCTAACAAAAAAACCCCACAAAACAAACAAGCAAACAAAAAATACACCCTACAGTTACTTCAACAGGTTTACAACCCTTCTGGGGAAGTTTCATTTCACTGAAATATTTGGGGTTCTTTTAATAATAACGAATAAAGAAAACCTACAAAACATTAGTTTTGATCAGCAAGTTTCTTAGATATAAATATTGCAAACTGACCTTTCATTCCTCCCTCCAAAAACCTTTATTAAACCGCTCTTATACTCCAGCTTTTTTATAAAAGAACTTTATCCTCTGGAAGAAAGGGATGGCATAATGTATCATTCCTAGTAATAACACAATTTTTTGATGCTGACAGAAGGGTAAATGTGAGCAAATTTTCTTGTTTGCCTATTGTTAAAACCAACTGCTCTGCAACAAACCTTCCCCCAGAAACCAATCAACCACCCTCAAGGGAATGTCTGTGGGGAAACAGTGTATTAATTGTCACCCCTCAACAGGTTCCCATTTAAGGCAAATGAAAGGAAGGATGAAACCAAATCATTGCCAATATCCTCTGAGAGAGAGAATCAAACTAAGATCTTGTAACTAGCAATCGGAAATTAAAAGATGGGCTGCATTCTTTTCAGAAGGAGTGAAGCAATTTCTCAGAGATCTCACTAAAATTACTAATGCCAGAGAAGCTGCAGGTATATATATATATATATATATATTACTAAACTGTAATTTGGCAAAAAGGGAAGAATCTTTCACCAGCACAGCAGGACATCTATTCTTATTTTGGGCAGATATAAAAGGCATACTTTGCTGAACTGGAGCACGTACCTTGTTCCAAAAGAAATGCAGCACGGCTGTGAAAACTCCTAACCAAGAAAACCTGAGGTCCATCATATATTTTTTATTACTTTTGGCATGATGTACCTGCTTGCAATAACTCCCAATGGGTGGTGATGTTTCTGACAGCTCTTCAAGACAAGTTTGTGTTTAGTGGCTGGTGTGTGTTTTCTTTGCACATATTTACTCAAACGCAGTGTGCCAATCTTCCAGTTGTCAAAATACTATGCAAGCAAAAGAAATTAACTTTTCTGTCTGTAAAAGCAAACTAATAATTCACCTAAGTCCTTTAGTATTACAGTTAGAATGCTCTCTAACTTAGATGGGTAAAAGTCAGAAACAGCAAACAATTAAATAATTCATTGACTTGATCACTGAGATAAAACTGGGACAAGTGGGAATTCAGTTTTCCTTTTCTGAACTACAGCTTGATGTTAAAATCATATACTTTCAAACAAATGTATACATTTGCACCTAATGTATTTCTGTGGTATTTCTGTGTTTTTTAAGAATGCTTTGTACTTAATCACCTTAACTGGAATGCACTGGTTTAGCTTGGAAAACACACCAGCATATTCACTGAACTCTGACTAACATAGAAACTAACATGACTATTGAAAATATATTTACTGAAATGATGTTTTTCTATTATGCTGGGTAATGGCTGCCATGTCTTTTCTGAGTGTAAAAATTTAATTATACAATTTGTTGTTATATTTTCTGCACTGACCAAATAAACAGCTTACCAGAATACCAGAACGAAACTGTACATGAACTCATTTTATGTTTCTGACCACATAAAAATATATTAAAAGGTAACAACTTAGAAAACCTCATCAGAACAGGAATTGCTGCCAAATTTACTATATATATATATATATATGTATATGTATATCTAAATACACTGAATATAGTGAAAAAAGATAAGGTACTGAAGAGTGCCATAATTCAGATGCTCTGAATTTGACCTACTAGTCTGCTTCTGATCTTAGTCCTACTCATTATTTTAGGTCTCTCCCCCTTGGGGCAACAGCATTTTCCCAGGTGCCTGAGGAAGCACTCCTGTTTCCCAGTAACTGGCGCACCCATGTGAATAGTAGTTCCAAATATAATACCATCACAATTTTAATCTGCTTTCATCTGATTTTGCAAAGTAACCAGAAGCTGTAGAGAGGAAATAACAGTGAATGTGTAGGAAACATAACTGACACTTTTTTTTTTCCTTACTCCTCTTGGTCACATTTTTCTTGATGTGTCTATAAATCAACACTGTTGTTTGGAAAATGAAGTCCTTCAGCTATAAACACACAAGGGGTCATTTTGCTTGAAGCCATTATTTACTCAGATTAAAGACAGCAGAATAGACACTACTTTTTAGCCTGTAGGCATTTAATAGAATTTATGTTGTTTGTAGGTTGTGATTTCAGTTTTAAATTATTGCAATTTATGGATAATTTCCTGGGTAGAAAATCTGACCATGCAAAACAGCCTTGGCTAGAAAATTAGGTTTCACCTGATCAAGAGTATTACACAAATTTCAAAGAACACTAAAGTCAGCTTACAAGAAGGAGACAAAGCTTCTCATCTATTGTGAGCATTGTAAGCATCTATCATACTATTTGTGCAAGATGCTTTGACTTAAACTGACTTCCACGAATAAAGGTTTGATGAATGAAACAAATTATAATGCTTTGCTGGAATAAAGTAGCTGTTTTTAATACTGTGTTACAGAAAAAAAAATTACTTTTCTGCCTTGCTAACAGTTCATATTACAAAAATTCTTTTAAAATTCCTCATAATTACACATGGCATACAAGGAGGACAGATGCAAAAGCTGTGAGCATCCTTCACCTTACTGAGATACTGTGGAGCCTCTTCAACTAAGATTTACCTACCAGTATTATCAAAGTTTATCTCTGTGCCCAAGTACCTTCGACATGTATTTCATGTCATTGGTTCCAAGTCACTGCAACCACAACAGCACTTTCTAAAGTCACAATACAATCATGGCCACTTCTGTTTTCTTCTCACTCAAAATAATGCTATTCTAACAGAATTTTTTGTTATCCTATATCCACTTTGTAGAGAACTGTTATAAATGTAGAGTCACTATATGACATGCTCACGTGCCATCAGCCCTTCCAGCAAGCTCAAAGGGTGAGCAATTAGCACAAAGTTTTTTTTTGTTAATGTATTTAAAATCATGTGATTTATAATTCATTCACCAAAATAAAAACTCACTGCCGTCCAAGTTCCTTTGCTTTACTACAGTAGAATATAAACCCCAAAACTTGTAAACAAAATACAGTCAACACTTTGTTCATAACATGTCATGAACAAATTACCAAAATGTGTTGTCTCCTCAGGTGTCAGTTTTCCTCTCTTGCAGTGACTGATGGTTCCCAGTGTTATTACAGAAACAGATTGATCTTTTTAATGAGCTAGTTTAATAGACTCCAAAATCTCACCGTGGCTGCTCATCCGTGTCAGACCATATGCACCAAGAAAACATTCAGTAAAACACAAAGCTCGGCTGTCAGATTGCTCCATAAAACCTCACATACAGTAGACTTAGATATGCAGATAAATAACAAGAATTGGAAAATGGATATGCAAAAAAGGTTCTGAAATTATAAGCAGAAAACAATACTGTATGTGGATTTTCTTCAACAAAAAATCATGAGACAGCTGTGGTTACATGTAACACTTGTTCCACCTTCTTTGCCTAATCCTCTACTGTACTCTTCCTATAGTGGAATTAATGGTATGCAGTTACCCACACATTATATACAATGCATGCTTGTGTATAACTATATATCTGTACATCTATATCATATACCTTGGGAAATCAAAAAGATACCACAGTTTACTTCAGTAAGACACACATCTTCAATCAAAATTACTCCAGCTGCACTTAGTTCTCCTGGAAAGATGTGGCCTTTGAGCAATTTTTTTTCATTTACTAGTCGTGGAGTCACAGTAAACCCATCCCTGAAAGTACGTCTCCTATCTTCTGCTGACTTTGTATTAGTATATTTGAAAATTACCTATATTTCTAAACAAAAGATATATATATTTCCAGATTTTTCCTCATGCTCCTCTGTAAACAATTAAAATAATTAATAGTGTAATGAGTATAAAGCCAGTATTGAAACCAAATACAAACAAGTATTTGGTTTCAATACTCACTCAGTCTAGGCATGTTCTGCCTCTGAGGACAGTTTTTTGTGGTTGATTTACTTACATTATCCAAATTAAAAGGTATGCAGACTCCAATTCAGTAAATTTAAGGATCTTTCCAAAAGCATCTTGTTCTTTTTACTAAATCTGTTGCACAAATGTTCTTGAGTGCACAAGACAACTCCACTGAACTTGGTTCAGCCAACACTATCACATTTTTTTTTCTGTATAGCTTTTATTATAGTCATAGGCAATGGAGAAGTAGATGTGACTAACCAGTGACAGGGTTGCTTGACACTGAACAAAACCAACTTATTTTTTAAGCTCAAGGTACCATTCCAATGAGCGCACTGGGCAGTCTCTTTTCAGGTGAGCCTTTTTCACTACAACAAACAGTTGCAGGGTCAAAAAAAAGGATGGGCTTTTCTGAAATACCACTTCCCCAGAACTAAGGAGCGGAATTTCAGGCTGCAACTGACAGAAGCTGCTGCACCTTGGAGTGTGCAGGCCAATGGGACACCCCATGCTACACCCTCCCTGGACCCTGGGAATTCAAACACTGGCTCTTACCCACAACAATGGAAGTTAAACTGTCTACCCCTTACCCCAAAAGCTGCATTACTCCCCAAGTTGTTCACAGCCTAAGAGTGACTTCAGTTGTGAAGCCAATGGCTCTTGACTTTGCAAGCAGAGACTCAGGAATTTTAAGAGCACCTACATATTTTAACTAAAATGAAATGCTGAGAAGAAAATTCATAAACTATACCCAAATCTCTCTAGGTCTGGGCCTCAGTTTTAACTAAAAGATGAAGGCTGACTTTAAAATCCAATATTCTCCTGATCTCTGGTCCCTTTATATACTAATCTTATGTCCTTTTTGTTATAAAACCAATACAGGGTTTTTCCATTACAAAGTTCTTGTCCTAGTCTCTACCTGTATCACCCATCTTCTCCCTCACAAGCAGGACTGAAGATAACACAGGTAAGACAGTACTTACTACAAAATAACCAAATTCAACACTGTCAAACTGGCTCTCAAAGAGAGGGAGCATTATTTCAAATGCTAAGGATGGAAAGCAAAGGAAAGACTTTATTTTGCATTTTTCCTTTGTGGCCTTATGGGAAGTATGAGTAATACTCCTCTCTACTAACAGGGGGGAAAAAAAGTGAGTTAGGGCTGTCAGGAAAGCACATCCTTCTTCTTGTCTGTATTCTGTCAAGAAATACCTCACTGGCTTATGAGATAATTTCATATGTGTCTATCTCCTTGCAGGAAAAATGTGGTGTCTGCTACTGACACCAGAGTACAGCTGACATCGAAGTTATTCACAAGACATTAAGAGGCCTTTTTAACAGGTGTTTTGGTACACTACTCTGCAAAGACTGAGAATATACAGAACTGCCCCAAGGTGCTAAATTTCAGCTTTGGAAAAATTATTTCATTGCACATAGTAAGAAAATACAAGTAAAATGTCCAAAAATTAGTCATCTTTCTGAAGTGCAGAAACATGCTTGTGTTAACCCCAATATCTTCCTCAGTTTGGTCTAGTTGTCTGAAAAAACTGGTGGAAAGAGGATAGCTACATATAAAAAGAGCTTTTCTGCTTGTACCTTAATTTTCTTGCTGGTCATAGTGATTTTTCTGAAACACAATCTCAGGCAAACTAATTTTAAATACTTTCACATCTTTTTCTATCTAATGGCGATGTGACTATAAATTTTACTGTTCACTTCTGGCTTTGAAAAATCTAAATTTTTACTATGAGCTTTCAGACTTTGTTTTCTCTTTATTTTTGTGTTATTCAAGCTTTTTCCAACACAAAAACGTCACCTGTACAAAGTTATGAGGCTTCTTGACTTTGAAAAGTATCTTTTTCATTTGAAAGATAACTAGGACACTTGCATACCTCAGGCATACAGTGGTATTTGGCAGAAAAGCATAATAAAAGTTTCCCACACTATAAAACCTATGGCAAACAAATCAATGAAAAATACAATACCTGAGTTTCCCAAAGGTAAAATGTAATGCCAGTTGAATTTCTAGCATTAGCATAGGAAGGCAGTTAAAAGTAAATAACCACAACAGTAATTTCCTTGTAACACTAAACAAAGATCTTTATTCCAAAAAATAAAAACTGTTCCATACCCCTAAAGCCACTGTACTTCACACACATGCATTCGCTTGTCCCATTTCTGCATGGACTCTCCTCAGCTCAACCACAAAACAGATTGCAGTGAACATTTCTCCTCTTTGAAAGAAATATCCTTATGCATATTCCATGTACAGATATGGAAATATGGCACAACAGGAGTCAAAGCCCTGAGTGTGCTCTGGGGTTTGCCTTGTACTTCCCAATATAAATGCCTAGCGACTCTCCTCACATTTAATGTTGAGTTCAACAAAACGTCAGAGGCAAAGGACTTGCATATGGAGCTGGCATGATCTGCTGCTTGGCACGTCATGACAGAAATACTGTGCACAAAGTACTACAGTACTGGCTGACCATTACTTCTGTGTGGATATGACCACAGTGTGTTCTGAGGTGACTGAATCAGTGTATGCATGTATTATATATATATACTCCGGAATATATCTGTGTACATAGCTCTCTCTATACATATACATGTAAGTATGTATATGCAGATATGCATAAGCAGGACCTGTTATGAAAGGGCACAGGGAATGATTTGAAGCTAATAAGAGAGTAGATTCAGACTAGGAAGAAATTTTTAATATGGAAGGTGGTGAAACACTGGTTTCCCAGAGAGGTGGTGGATGCACCATCTCTGCAAGCATTCATGATCAGGTTGGATCTGAAGGACCAGCACCTCCCAGGGAACACCACCCGAGTATCCCCCCAGCACCCACGCTCACGCTGCCCCTGTGCTGGAGGAGCTCAGCACTCAGGCCCACAGACCCTCCGGGCAGGGCAGGAAAGGCACAGTGCTGCTCACCTGTCTGGAGTTCGCCTCTTCCCGTTTTCGTTCACATCGAGAAGCAGCTCTGAGGAGTCAACAGGTGAGGTGGTGCTGGCATCCAGAAGCAGCTGTTCGTGCTGGGCGAGGTACTGGGCTGGGTTCTGCTTGGCTAGCCTTGCACAGTGCAGCAGCTCCCGCTGCAGCAGGGGCAGATTGGCCTGCAAGAGTGCAGCACGTGTTAAGAGGGCAGCTTGCAAGCAGTTTCAACAGAGGTGAAGAAGAAAAATCAGAAATCAGAGGAAAGCCTGCTTTGAGTTGAAACTGTTGCCATTATTCCCAGCTAGGTTTGTGGTTAGCTGCCTGAAAGCAGGCAGCCTCCAAAAGCAGCTATAACTGTACTAAATATGCATGGAAGGATGGAAGCTTACCAAAAATATAACAGAAAACAGTAAATGCTGTGAGAAAACCAGGTCTGAGTGCCACATCTTTAAAGAGGGAAAAAGCACTGTCTTGGCTGACTTCTGCTTTCTAACTGTCTAAAACCTGATCTCCTATGAAGCAGCTGTTTTCAACAAGTGACAATCCTTTGTTTCCCATTCAGACTGCAGTTAGTACTCAGAAAATGTCTGAAACCAGGGGATCTGCAACTCTATGAGCTGCCTCGGTCACCATCCTTTGAGGGCCTTGGGGAGAACAGGACTGAGAATAGGACTGCCCTCAGCTTTCCCATGACACTTGCAGTTGCACACATTAAGATAAAGATTACAAGAAAATCTCACGTTCCAGAGCTTCAGTTAATCACCCGGAGGGCTACAATCCTCCTCCTAGCCAGATGTAGCCTGAAGGATTTCTAACTGTTCTTTCATGGCACCACTGGGACTTGGGTCAGGGCCTGGAGATTACCAGGACTCAGACAAAGAGAACTGAAAATTCTGGTTGATCCCTGGGCAGCACATTTTGCCCATCTACTGCAGTCACACTTAGTCATACGTTTTGCCAGAACAGGTGGAACCGTATGTCCCTTCCCTCTGCAGAGATAGTTGCACATTTTGGGAAACATCTTCCTTTCCATCTCCTTATGGAATATGGAGGTCTTTTCAGACCTACACAGAACAGAAATATTTTGTGAAAGAACCAAGTATCTATTTTCTTTTGGTTATCAGAGAGATAGACTGACTGACTGTGTTGTAAGCAGGGTTTTTCACTTTTTTTCATTTTACTGCTTCTTTAAAAAGCTCACACAGAATACGTGTCAAGACCCAACTACATCAATTGCCTTGCATGGCAGAAAATAGTTAGAAAAGTCCACATATATTTACAAGTAACATCTGGAAGAAATAAAAGAATCAGATCTAGTATCTGACTAGTGGTACATACTTAAAAGATGTATCATCACATCTCAGCCAGCCTGTGAGGTAGAAATGTGAAGGTCCTACTTAGGATGTGAGTAATGGAAGATGAAATAACACATTTGTGCTCCTTATCCACTATCACAAACAAAAAAGGATCTTTTTAACGCATAGATACTCCTAGAGACAACCAAATTTTGAACCATTCAGCAAAAACTGTGATTTATTTAACATGTTTACCTTCTCCTAAAGAAATGTTCATTCTTGCCCTTTAGCCATAAGCACGAACATTTGCAGATAAATTTATCTAAATAGATTGAACAGATTTTCTTTGCACAGAACAAGCACATACAGCTTTTAATATGTTTATGAAAAGCAGATACATTCAGTTGCTTAATTTCTTAGAAGTTAGTATAGAAAACTATGATTGACATGTCTTATAATTTGGGCTTGTAATAGCACAAAGTAATATTTGAACAAATACTTAACTTGAAGTCAAGAAAAGCAGTATTTAAAAATTTATGGTTCAGCTCAAGTATTTTCAACCTGCTCAAAACATTATTCTAAACAACCTTTATCGAACCATATATTAAGAAATAATTAGTTTCTTGGGAGAAGATTAATCAGGACCTTTCTATAGGTAGGTCAAGTGTGCAGACTGCTTCTGGTCACCATGGCCCTGATACACAAGAACTAGTTTTTGGGAAGATAATGAGAACTAATCTTGAATGCAGAATGAAACATCAGTATTCTCCCTATTGCAACTCGAGCGTAGAGACTCACAGAGACTCTGAAACCAACGTGGCCTTGGACACAGAGGATTGTGCAGAGGTTCTGATCTGACAGCAAAGGCAGAACTCCACACCTGCAGCAGCACAGTGCTGCTGATGCCTCTAGACAGGCTTCTGTACCTCTGCATGTGAGAGATACAAACCAGTTCTCAACCAGAAAAACTCTGACTGCAAACAAACATGACATTACTGGCTTACACCACCCTAAATTGTCACACTTCAGTGTCTGAAACATGTTCCACTTTTGGCTTGGATTGGGCCTTATATCCTTCAATATTTATGCAGTATCGTAGCCTCCTCTATCAGCAACAGCAACAGAAATATTTCAGTCTTATAATTTAAACTGAAACGGCTTCATTAGAACATAGTACAAAATTAGGTTTTGA